AATAAAAAATAAAGAACGAGTTTGTGACAGTTGTTACCACCAGTGAGAAGGTGATATTTTCAATCGTAAAAGTTTGACTTTTACTAAAACCACAAAGTCACAGATATTCTCCTACTTTGTTTGTAGAAACTAGAATATATTAATAACAAACTATTTAAAAAAGTATTGTTGTAATATTATGTCTATTTGACCAATAATAATCATCTCTCTGTTTCGTTTTTGTGTGTGTGTGTTTATGTCTGTGTTAAGGTGGGTCGTTCCTCCGTCCATGGCCTGGTCCAGATGACCTACAGTGATCCTGGTCACTGCTGACTGCAGCGTTAATCCCTGATCCTCCAGAAGCCACGGTGAGTCTACAACATTAACAATAAAGCTACCACAACAAGCTCACACCTACAGTAAACGTAGAACACATGCCGTCACAATCCTTGATGATATTTAGTCATCAATTTATAATAAACAGGGTCAAGGTAGTGTTAATATTAACGTGTATAGTTGTTGTTCAGACTAAAACAATATTCTGACATGGAGATCCTAATAATAATAATAATCAAAATATTTTTATTTGTTATGATGTTTTGTTTTAAATTGATAAAGAAAGACAACAAAAGTAAAAAAGGATATTTTTCTGAACATTAAAAAACTCTAAACTCCTATAAGCAGCTATATTTATCTTTTTCTCATTGATTATTGTTTACAACTGTGATGTTTCAATTGCCGTAAAGAAAAAAGAGATTATTTTTTGCTATTTTTATGCCACAGTAAAAATGTGATAAATGATTTACCAGAACATTAAGTGTTGTATTTAAGTGAGTATTTATTTTATTTTATTTGAGAATGTGTGCAATGACATTATGACTCACGGTGGGGTTTTTTTAATTTTCTTTTTTGTATGTTCATTTGTTTGTTTGTTTTGAGAATTGCACATAATGTGTCTTATAGACGTCTAATGATATTTAGTTGACTAAAATTAACCATAAAAAAAACATAATATTATACTAAATCTAAATAGTGTGTTATTTAAAAGACCAAATCAGAATTAAGTCTAAAATAACACTGTTGTCATGGTTTAATTATAATTATGAAAAGACACTCTTTGATTCCAGCACCTTAAAAATGTACAGTTTGTTTTTAACCAAAAAACGACGAGACCGTAGTGTTTTTACCCACACTCTATTTCCTGCCCTTGTGGAATGTTTGCTGCTAAGTTTCGTTTGTTGGACTAAAACGAGTTTAATCAGAGTACGTGTCACTGTGATTATGTAGCAGACAAAACAGTCAGTTTCATATAGTGGGTATATATATACAGGGTTCACAACTCCAACCACAGAGTCACACAGGAAGTTATCACGCTGTGTGTGTGTGTGGTGTATGAAAAAAGTGCAGCATTTCTAATCTCCTTTCACACTGTTTTTACTTCTCATGTCACTGAGTGAACATGAGATAAATTCACTGGATATATTTTTAGATCGTCAGCCTCAATGATGGAAAACACACACACACACACACACACACACAGGATGAGAGCTCTGATTCTGTTTGCTTTTGTAGGTCACACATGCAGTTCATGCTCCAGTTGGTCTGTTTTTGTTAGTCTGCAGCTCCGAGTGGCAGCAATTGTTTTTTCATTTTTAGATTCTTTAGGTTTATTTTGTCATAAATATTCTAAAGACTGACGTAAGTGACAAAGGAGAAGATGGTGAAGAGTTTTTACTGTTCCATTTTCTGTGTGTGTGTAAATCGTTCCTCCTGAGCAGTACAGTCCTCTATTTTGGCCAGTAGATGTCGCTAATTATTAGACTGGGTCTAGTGATGTGAGATGTTAAACAATGATCTCAAGCTGTGTGTTTCTAAGAGATTTGAGTCACATCATTCAAAGCAGATCATCCATCCATCCATCCATCCATCCATCCATCATCTTTATCTATATCTGTCCATCCATCCATCCATGATTCCATTCCTTTGCCCTTCCATCCATCCTTCTTTTAACCCCCCCCACCCCCGTCTTCCCCTCCTCCTCTTCACTCTGCTGAATTATTCAGCATCAGTCTGGTGCTGTAGTGGCTCGGCTGCTGAGCAGCAGGAGGAGTAGGAGGAGGAAGAGGACGAGGACGAGGACGATGCAGACGGATAGAATAGAAACAGGAGAGAGGAGGTGATGAGGAGAGATCTGGAGCTGCAGGGAGAGTCGTGAGTCAGCGGGACAGGGGGGAGAAAAAAGAGAACACATAGAGGGTGTACGGTGATACGACAGGAGGGGGAGAGAGAAGGAGAGAGAGAGCAGCTGCTGCGACTGATTCCAGCGTTGTTCATGCGCACATTGATTTGAGCAGAGACGTGAGGATGATGAAGATGAAGATGATGATGTGAAGGTGTTCACCACAGTGTTCCAGCTGAATAACAGAGGGAACAAGGCAGCGGTAAGGAGAAGGAGAGGGTTAGTAAAGGGAGGAGGTGTTGTGTTCGAGGATGGGGGAGAACTATATGTACCAGCGCCTCCCCTTCACCAGAGGAGAGGAAGAGGAGGATGAAGAGGAGAGAGACAGGAGGATGATCAGGGAGAGTGTCGGCAGACAAATGGTAAAAGTGTCTCAAGTCGTGGGTGTGTTTTCTTTTCAGTTCATGCCCAACACTGTTGTTATTATTGCATCATTTCATCATCTGAATTTTGTTAAGGAATTTTATGCTAAACATTTTCTGTTTTTTTTTTTTTTTTTTTGTTTCCACTTTTATTTTAGATGACCTTTAACACATTTTGGGGTGTTTAGTTTTTTGGGATACCCGTGCCTAACTGCCTTAGCTAACTGTTAGCTATCCATCTATTTTACTCATCTGTTTAACTGGTTTTTTTTTTTTTTTTATAAATGTTTTCTTTTTTGTATTTTTTTTTTTAAATTTCAACACTGAATTAGCATCTTGTTCATTTTTTAGCTCTTTATTTGGTTTATTGACTTTATTCACGGGTCATTGTTGACTGTCGCTAGGCTACTTCAACAGCTACATATTAAGCTAACATAGTTCTGTGCAACATAGGTAGGAAATGTGTCGACTTTCTTGTTATATTTTCTATTGTAGCCATTTTCTTTTTTTGTCTTACCCATAGGTTCTATTTTGGTCGGCTTATGGTTATGTTTTTATCTGTTTCTGGGCTCTTTGCATTTTATTAAATTTTTTTTTTGGCTAATTTTAGATTTCAAACAATTTGTTGCTATATTTAAATTCATTGTTGGCCTTTTGTAGTTTGAAACCATTTTTATAGCAATGGTTTTTGGCTTTTCTTTTAGCCAGGGTTTTGCTCAGTTTAGTGTTCAGTGAATTTCTAGTGACTAACTTTAGTCTCTTTAAATTTAAACTATAATAAAGGTTCATCTTCCATTGTGGATCAATTTTTTAATTATTTCTCCTAAATGGCTAAACTTTAGCAATTCCCGGGCTAAATTTAAATTTAGTTTTTCAACTATTATTACAATATATTTTACCAAACTATATTTAGAGCTTTTTTTAAACAAACTGTTACATGGTTCATTGTTATTTGTGTTTGTGTTTTCAGATGCAGTGTGAGGAGGGGACGGAGTGGCTGCTGGAGCTGCTCACCGACGTCCAGCTGCAGCAGTACTTCTTGAGGATCAGGGATGAGCTCAACGTCACTCGACTCTCACACTTTGACTACGTCAAGAATGAAGACTTGGAGAAGATTGGCATGGGTCGCCCAGGTGGGTCCAGAAATGGTTCATAAATGTCAATACACATACCAAACGGTACCAAACTGTTGTATGAAAATGACAAAAATTAGATGCACTTATATTACAAAATATATTCATTATACATTATAACTGTTTCCACTGAGGAAGTAATTTCAAAACCTGGCTAAAAACCACAAACTTTATGATGTTTTTTTTTTTTTTTGGAGGATTTTTTTTCAAAATTTAAAAATAATATAATAGTATAACATGTACTTAAAAAATCAATTTCTTACACATGAACAGTTCCACCCAGGTTAGGCTCCAACTGCGATAAAATAACTAATGATGTCATCACTGCACTTCCCAAAAATATTTGACACATGCACCAACCCAAAACATGACTAAAATATAGAACAATGAGTGAGATATTTTTGACCCATTTCTGACACTGAACCGTCATAAAAGATTTTTTTTTTAACAAATCTGACCTGTAACCATCATATTACATTTCTGACCCAGTTCTGTAGCACTTTTCCACACAACACCAGCTTGAGTTCTCTTTACTAAATTTTTTTTTTTATATTTGTAAGTAAATCATAGGTGAAGGTAAATACTCATGCTGTCAGCAGAAACTGTTGTAAAACTGTTAGTGTAAAGATAATAAAATATACCTTCCAAAGTTCAGGTGACACTACAGTGTCTGTGGGTTTCAGGCTGTGAACAGAGGAGTTTTCTTTTGTTGTCTCAGGTCAGAGGAGGCTGTGGGAGGCCGTGAAGAGGAGGAGAGCTCTTTACAAACGCAAGTCCTGGATGAGCAAGGTGAGAACACACACTTAAACACACACAGAGTTGTGTGCAGAGTTCAACACCAGGGCATCCTAAAATCGGAAAATTTCATCACTTAACTTATCTCGGATTGCAGCGAGGTTTTTCTTCTAGGTTGTATTAGGTAACACGTTGACTCCCTGACCTGGTTTCCTGTAAAAACAAAAATCATATTTGAATGAGAGCCACATTTATGATGCTGAACGATTGAAAGATTGTTATATTTAAATTAAAAAAAGTACCTTTTTATTACAATTTAAAACAAAAATCATATTTGAATGAGAGCCTCAGATTAAACATTTTTCATTAATATATATTTTCATCTGTCTGCAGGTGTTTCCGGTGAAACGCACCGACGCCGACCCTCAACAGACCCCTCACCAGGGGGCAGCGTCCAGCCAGACCCCGGGCAGCAGTGAGTCGGCCGCGTCACTCACCTGTCTGATCAGAGAGTCGGAGCTTCAGCTGTTCGAGCGGCTGGGAGACGGCACCTTCGGAGTGGTGCGGCGTGGAGAATGGACTGGTCCAAACGGCGGAGTGGTGAGAGAAAAAAAAAAAAAAAAAGGACAAGACGACACACGGTACTGTGACAGTTGTGACGCTGAGGTTGTTGTGTTTTTCCTCTCTCTGTGTGAGTGTAGTTGTCTGTCGCGGTGAAGTGTCTGAAAGCAGGAGTGTTGGACTCTGACGGACTGGACGATTTCATCCGAGAGGTCAACGCCATGCACTCGCTGAATCATCAGAACCTCATAAGGCTGCACGGTGTTGTCCTCACGCAGCCCATGAAGATGGTAAATCACCTGGACGTTACATCACTTTCAAAATGAACAAATAGGAATTTGGATTTTTGAAAAGTACTGATTGTGTATATGACAAATCAGAAAATCTTACATAAAAAGTGGGTTATTAGATTTAATTCTGACAGAAAACTGAAGGGTTTTAATTATTTTGATTTAAAAAAAATAAAAAAAAACTCCAGTGCAGAACTCCATAGAGAAATTCGGCCATTTTAAGTTACAGTGAACAGAAACTGATCAGAAATATGATCTGGTTCATTTTACGACTTCTTTGTTTAAAATCTTTTGTTCAGATTCAACTCAAAGAAACAAAACAACCAAACGAGGCAGCAGTTCAGGTGTCACCATGACCTAAAATCACTCACTTTATCAATGGGCCTTGGTGTGGTTTACGTTGGAACTGTTTTCCCAGAAAAATAATCTTCGTAGAACCACTGTGTAAATTGTTTACTGATTATGGTGTGTGTTTGTGTGTGTGTGTGTGAAGGTGGCAGAGTTGGCTCCTTTGGGCTCCCTGTTGGACCGCCTCAGAAAGCGTCAGGGCCACATCCTCATCTCCTCTCTTTGCAACTATGCTGTACAGGTCGGTCAAGGTCAAATGTCAGAGAATAGAACCCTTTCATCTCATTGGATTTGTTCTAAAGTGCTCATAAAATATTGTCACCTAAATTTAATGGAAACGTTATGTGCATTTCTACCTGCAGGTGGCGTGTGGCATGGCCTACCTGGAGCAGAAGCGTTTCCTCCACAGAGACCTGGCAGCCCGTAATGTCCTACTGTCCACCAACGACACAGTAAAAATAGGAGACTTTGGCCTGATGAGGGCGCTGCCGACACACACTGACCAGTACATAATGGAGGAGGGTCATAAAATCCCCTTCCCCTGGTAAAGACACTGGTTTAACTCCTGCAGCTGATCTTCTTCACCAGCTAAACCGTGCGTCTACAGTCAGTGTCCTGCTCTCTGTCCAGGTGTGCTCCAGAGTCTTTAAAGTCTCGTACCTTTTCTCACGCGTCCGACACCTGGATGTTCGGAGTCACGCTGTGGGAGATGTTCACTCACGGGCAGGAGCCGTGGCTGGGCCTGAATGGAAGCCAGGTAGTGGTCGCTGCTGCACCCCCTAATTCAATTTGGAATATTTTAACCTTTTAACCCAATAGCTTTTTTTTTTTTTTGTTACAGATCCTCCACAAAGTGGATGTTGAAGCCGAGAGGCTGAGCAAACCAGACGACTGTCCTCAGGACATCTACAACGTCATGCTGCAGTGCTGGAGCCCCAAACCTGAGGACAGACCCACCTTTGTGGCCCTCAGGGACTTCCTGCTGGAGGTGAAACAAAAGCTATGAACCGAGTCCCTCCTTGGACAACAAAACCTTCCACCAGGTCTAAATAAATGTTTCTCTACTCTACAGACGATGCCCACAGACATGAGGGCCCTGCAGGACTTTGAGGAAGAAGATAAGCTGCAGATCAAAATGAACGACGTCATCACCATCATTGAAGGAAGGTCAGTGTGTGAAGCTTTGATGCCTAAATGTAATCTCTGTGTTTTGGTGTTTGTCTGCATTTCCACTAGAGGGAGACAAAATCGTCACAATTGTACTTTTTGAAATATTTTATTTATTTATTATTATATTATACCATACTATTTTTTTTCTAAAGAAAATCCACACAAATCCACTATGTCCTTATTTATGCTTAAAAAGAAAAAGAATATTTTTGTAGGTATCAAACTTTTACGAAAGTATAACCCTGCACTAATTAGTTTCTGAAAAACAAAATCTTAAAAAATAAGTTTCTCAAAAATCACTAATTTACCTTAAAATATGTAGATATGTCAATTTTTATGATTAAAATAAAATAAAAAATTTAGGCCATGAACTTTTTCCAAAAAAAAACTCTGCACTAGAATTTTTTTGAAAAATCCTCAAAAATAAGTTTCTCAAAAATGAGTAAATGTACACTAATTTGCCTTAAATTATGTAGACATGTCCATTTTTATAATTAAAATTTAGAAAAAACATATTTTTTTAGACCATCAACTTTTTTTGAAAAAACCCTAACCCTGCACTAATAATTTTCTGAAAAAATCCTCAAAATTAAATTTCTCAAAAATGACTAAAAATACACTAATTTGCCTTAAAATACCTAGCTATGTCCATTTTTGTTGTTAAAATTCAGAAAAATATACTTTTTTGGTACGCCAACGTTTGATCACAGTTAAAATACTATACCAATAAGATCCTGAACAACTCTCCGAAAATAAAAGTTTCTCAAAAATGAATAAAAGTGCACTAATTTGCCTTAAAATATGTAGATATGTCCATTTTATGATTAAAAATTTAGAAAAAAAAAGATTTTTTAGACCATGAAATTTTTCCGAAAAAACCCTAACCCTGCACTAATAATTTTTAAAAAAACCTTTTAAAAAATTCCTGAAAAATGAAAATAAATAAAAGAAATAAAAATGCACTAATTTGCTTTAAATAATGTAGATAAGTTCATTTATCATTTAAATTTAGAAAAAAAGCTTAAAAAATGTTTTAAGACCTCCAACTTTTTCCAAAAAAACCCAAACCCCGCCCTAATAATTTTCTGAAAAATGTTCAAAAATGATGCATCTCAAAAATGAATAAAAATGCACTAATTTTCCTTAAAATATGTAAAATGTCCATTTTTATAATTAAAATTTAGAAAAAAAAAATTTTTTAGACCATGAACTTTTTTCAAAAAAACCTAACCCTGCACTAATTATTTTTAGAAAAATCTTCAAAAATAAGTTTCTCAATAATGAGTACAAAATGCACTAATTTCCCTTAAATTATGTAGATATGTCCTTTTTTATAATTAAAATTTAGAAAATAAATAATTTTTTAGACCGAGCTTTTTTTGAAAAAACCGTAAACCCTGCACTAATAATTTTTTGTATTACTAATATTAGTAAACAAAAAAAATCCCAGTAATAATAATACAACCATGTCATTCTTTTTTATTGAAAATGTTATTTTGAATACGAACACCAAATAATAACAAATAAAAACACACATTTATACATGATTCATATTATCACATATTCCAATTATTTAAAACTTACAAATGAGTTCAACATGCAGACTTTTCTCCCACCAAAACATCAGTGTGGTTGAAATTTGACTGCAACATTTATTCACTTTTCGTTTTCTCTGTGGTTTTAGGGCGGAGCATTATTGGTGGCGAGGTCAGAACAGACGGACTCTTGGCTTGGGTCAGTTCCCTCGTCAGGTAGTGACGGCCGTGGCCGGTCTGTCGGCTCAGGACATCAGTCGACCTCTCAAACACTCCTTCATCCACACTGGACACGGAGACACCGACCCTCACAGGAGCTGGGGATTCGCTGACCGTATAGACAGGTTGGTTTGACGAGTTGGTTTACAATTAACAAAGCAGGAAAAAAAAAGTGATGTAGTTTGGCCCCCGGTCAATTATGTTTTGGGGGCATTTTTCAGAGCAGTTGTTTTCAACTTAATTGGTTTTATATTTGAACAGTAAACGTGTTTCTGGCTGACATTGACCATTAGGTTTTAAAAGTGCCTGTCTCTTAAATTGCCACTAGGGGGAAGCAGCGCGTTTTCTGTACCAGACGGTTTAAGCCTCTGAATAGCTTTAGTTAATGTGACGTCACATGTCAGTTATGTCTGTGGACAAAAATATTTTTTCACCCAGATTTATTATTTCAGATTTTGTAAAACATTTCAGGAGATGTTGGTTATTTTCCTGGGATACGTTAAAAAAAAAAGTTCAGTATTGTGGATAGGGTTTACAATAATTTTCCTGCCATTTACCATTTGTCCATATTTTAGCCTGGAGGTTGGACCATTGTTTTTCTAATTTTCCTTTTTTTTTTTCCAGTCTGTATTTAGGAAACCCCATGGATCCTCCTGATGTCATGGGGATGGAACCTGGAACAGCCAGACCCACTAAACTCCCGAACCGTACTAAAAGTAAGTTTGTCATTGTTTTAAATATCATTTACAGTGGAACCCGTAGATACCAGTTTTCAAAGTTACGAGTAAGAAATGATTTTCCTTGTAATAATATAAAATTATTACTTAATTATTATTTTATGTTATGAATATATTTGTTGATATCTGTGTTTTTGATGTTTAGATGGGGGTTAATTTAATTAGTTAATAGTATATTTCTGGAGGGCTGGAACAAATTAAGTATTTTTGATGGTTGGAAAATGCAGTTTTTGAATGGGGAGGGCTGGAACAAATTAAGTATTTTTAATGGTTGGAAAATGCAGTTTTTGAATTTAACTGGTATCTAAGGGTTTTGCTGTATTTCAAGTTTAAATAACGTAATAAGTGAGCCAACAATCAGGTTAAGTATTTAAAGAACTTTATTTCCTTCTCAGAACAACCTCCTCCTCGGCCTCCTCAGCCGGCTCTCCTCCTAAAGAGTGAGTTCTTACCAGTCGTTTCACATCCAACCAACGTTCTGACACTACTGGACATTTCTGTTAACGCCGTGTTTGTGTCCAGAGCCGTTCTACGACTCTGTGATGGACGACTACGACGAGGACGAGGATGCCAGCGCCGCCTCTGGCCTGAAGAGACTCGGAGTTTCTCTGGGTCTGAAGCTCCGTCCCTGGGAGGGTCCCGGTGTGCGTTCCGCCAAAAGTGAGGTGTCACTCATCGACTTCACGGACGACAGCTTCAGCTCCACCACGCCTTCGCCGCTCACGGAGTCGCAGCAGCAGCCAGACGAGGACACACTGAAGGTACGGTGGACCGAAATATATCAGGACGTCAGAAGACCAAGAAACAGTTCAGGATGTTGGTTTTTATTTTCTACTTAGGACACGCCCTCAATCCTGGACTGGCCCCTCCCTCAGCCTGCATATGACGAGGTCACCGCAGACCTGGAGGACCAATCGGAGGACCAGGAGGTGAAGACTATCAACATAGGACTGGGGGATGAGACCACGCCCACATCTAGTTCTTCTACAGCGAGCAGGAACGAGTCCCAGTCGGCCGATCTCTTCCAGGAACTTCAGAGAGAGGTAGGGACTTTGCATTTTAAAGTTTTGATTAGAACCTTCTAATTATTAAGTTGTAATTACGGTCTAATAATTAGAAGGTTCTAATTGGAGCTCTCCAATTAGAGGGCTCAAATGAGAGTGCTCTAATTAAAGTTCTAAATTGGAACTCTATTTGTTGGAGTTCTAATTTAGAACTCTATTTGTGGGAGTTCTAAATTGGACTCCAACAAATGAAGTTCCCAAAAACTCAAACAAATAGAGTATTTGTAATGTTTGTAAAGTAATTAGCTACATCCCTAAATTACCGTCTGTAGAAAACAGGAGTGCATTCAAAGGTGGGGGGGGGGGAGTATTTAGATTAACAAATGTCCTAATAAAAATCTAAAGCCCTGTTAGTCAGGAGGAGACTGTTTAAAGGACATACTCAGTAGAGTAAGAAGTCTTTCTGTCCTACCTGTTCGTCTCTGTCTCTGCTGTTGAAGGTGATGGTGAAGCTGCAGGTTCCCATGTCCACCGGTCGCTCCCTGCCCTCCTCAAAGGTGTCCATGTCTCTGGCTCCTCTGGCTCCTCACCGTCAGATCTACCTGCCTCCTCCTTCTCCTTCCTCCACTCCTTCCTCCTCCTTTGGCTCCTGCTTCGAGGACCGGCCCGTGCTGCCTCCCCGCAGCCCAGTCCCTCCGCTGCGTCCGTCCAAACACACCCCCTCCAGTCGCTCCTCTCACCCACAGGTGCGCTCCAGCTCCATATCGCTCGGGGACGAGGAGGAGGTCACTCCTCCACAGATCCCGCCCAGGGATCATGCGTTTTCTCAGCCTGGGTCTCGCTCCTCCTCTCCCCTCTCTCTGGTGCCTCCTCCCTCCTCTTCACCGGTGCTTCTCCCTCCTCCTCCTCTCTCTGTGTCCCCACGTCGCACGTCAGGACTGGTCAGCCCCCTCTTCTCCTCCTCGTCTCCACCCAAAACGACATCCAGCTCTTCACGGGTCTCGGTTCCCGGCTCCTCCCTCCTGGATCCGTTCTCCTTCCGTGAGAGTCGTGGAGGGACGTCGTTGATTGACAGCTCTCAGAGTTCTGCTCCCGTCCCTCTGCCAGAGCGACCAGCGTTTTTGGAGAGGTGGGACTGAGAAGAGACAAACACAAACAAATAAACAATTTAATTATCTTTGTTTTAATGTTAATTTGTTTCATTAAAGAGAGATTTTAATATTTTTTACAGTTCAACCCTGGATTGTTTTTTGTTGTTCATTTTTGTGTTTAAACAAACTGTCGGGAATTTAAGAATCTATGAGATCATTACAATTAAATATAAATCATTATTAATTATTATTTAACAGAAATGTAATTCTTTTTAGGACTAAAACACTACAATTTTAGTTCAATTTTAATGTTAAGGATTAATTTGTAATAATTGTTTTAACCAGTTAAAATATGAACTAATTTATTCTTTATCATTATTTCTACCTCCACCATACCGGTCTTTTTAACTCGTATATTTTGCCTCTGATTTTTAAGATACGGAGCAGCCAACATGGCCGCCATCAAACCGATGATGAAGCAGCAGCCGCCAGGTGGCGCCAAACCCAACTCCTCCTATAACAACAACAACAGTCGAACTACCGCAGCAGTAGTTCCCAGCATGCAACAGGAGCAGAGCGTTACACAGGTCACTTCTTTTTCTTTTAGCTGACTTTATCGTTCTTGTTTTAACTTTTACTTTTCTTAAACTTGTTTTTGTCTTTTTTAGGATTTTTCAAATACAGTAAATGGATATTTAACATTTTTTTTCCACTGATTTCTTTTGGCTGTATTTGAATTTTTTCAAATACAGTAAATGGATATTTAATATTTTTTTCCACTGATTTTTTTTGGCTGTATTTGAATGTTACCCAAAATGTTTGTTAATAAAATACATTTAAAATATAAAATGTCTTTGTTAAAGATTAAAACGTATTAATATAAAAAATGTATTCTTATTTCAATAATTGTTTCGTTTTAGTTTCTAATTATTATTTTTTTATTATTTTATTATTTTACATTTTGCCCGGTGAAATGTCCAATTAAAATCATTAGATTTTTGACATTTTATTTTATCATTATATTTTTCCTGGATGAAACCAACAGTTGTATCATGCGATGATTGACAGGTGCAGAGAGCAGTTCACGGAGTCACACTGGAGGAGTGTCAGTCTGCTCTGCACACACACAACTGGAGAGTCACACAGGCCATAAAGCACCTGAAGGTTCGACCACGTCATGTGTGCTCCCTAAATATGACAGATTTGATGTCTTTAATTAATCTAACGATTAAATATTAGGTTTTATTGGTGGTTTTCAGCTCAGACAATATGAAGAGCTGTTTTTACTTTTCAACTAAAAATTAAGACTAAAGTCATATAAAAGTTTGAATTTACAGCAAGTTTTTACTTGTATTTACTATTTTTTTTATAGTATGGATATTATTTTCTAGAATTTGGGAGTTTTTTTTTTTTTTCAGGCTCTTTAGTTTAAAAAAAAACTGCTGGAGTCAACATGAAGGAGAACTTACCTTGTGTGTGTCTGTCTGGGTCACAGGTGGAGCAGTTGTTCCGTTTGGGCCTCAGGTCCAGATCAGAGTGTGAGGGGCTCCTGCAGGACTGTCAGTGGAACCTGGAGCAGGCCAGCACCGTCATCATGGACACGTACGGAGCTCCTGCACAGAGGTTGGGAAGAAAATAAGATATTACTAGAAATATTACTTTTATATATGTAGTACTTTTACTCTGTTTCCTTTCTTGTCAACAAATCTGTCACAGAGGAGTTAATAACCTGTGTGTGTGTGTGTGTGTGTGGTTTTTTTCCTTTTGTGTTTCAGGAAGTGATAAAAATGACAGGAGGAAAGTGAGACGTCGACCCTGAACACTGAACTGCTCTGATGACTCATGGTTTGAAGGACACTCTGACACAGAGGAGGTATTTTTACTGAGTTCAGAACATGAGGCGGCGGTTTGTGCTCATGTCATTATGTTACTGTGAAAAAACCTGGTGTGTGGTGCTCCACACACACACACACACACACACAGGTGAAGACACACAGTGTTTACTTGAACTTGTTCCTTTTTGTGTTTTTAATTTATATTTGTTTGTGTGTTTGTGCTGACTGTTCTGTATGACTGTCACTTACTCCAAAAAAGTTGTGTTTTTAATTTATATTTGTTTGTGCTGACTGTTCTGTACGACTGTCACTTACTCCAAAAAAAATTCAACTTGAAATAAAACTAACATGACAGTCTGAACTACCTTGTTGTTTAGAGGCAGAAATTACCTTTCAACAGTTCCTGTCACTCACATCCAGGCACACGGATGTTCACTGATGGTGAAAAAGTGCTAGAAAAGATAAAAAAAAGAAGAAATTCAATCTTTTAAAACATGTTTTAAAGGCAGTGATTAAAGTTAAGACAATTACATTAAATCAACTTCATTTGTGTTTCCATTTTCCTCATAGTTAAAAAAAACAGGATTTAAGGTAAAGCTGTGTTAAGTGTGCCCTCTGCTGGAGGACAAAGTAATTATTTTTATGCATGTTTAATGGGAATATTTAAAGGCTGCTTTTCCTCTAAGTCTTGGCTATTTATTCACACTGCTTTGTTGAACAAAAAAACAGTAAAATACTACAGTATTACTGTCTGTTAGTAGTAATTAGCCAAATATTTCAAACCTTGGTTTAAAAGTGACAGTAAACATGAGCACAGTAAACATGTTTGTGGATCAAATACTTTAAAGGTACATGACATTTGACGTACTTTTCGTTCACTCTTCGATCAGGGAGTTTTTTTGTTGTTGTTTAAATGTACAGATGAAACACTGTATTGTATATAAGTCAAGTTTTTTCTGTGCGAGTATTTACTGCTGGTCAGAAGATGAGAATGTTTGCTGTGAACAAATACTGATACTACAGTAATATTATATTTACAGTACCTGTCCTGTGAATCCAGAGCTAAGACTTTACTGTAGGTAAATTATTCAGGTGAAAACTTCAGTTATCTTTCATGGGTACAGGGTTTAAAGTACTGAGTGTGTATCAGTACTGGACCAGCTGTGTTTTACGTTTTACTCAGAAACTGTGAGGAAAAAAGTGAATAACTGAAGAATAAAGGTACAAGAAACTGTGAGGAAAAAAGTGAATAACAAGAATAGAATAAAGGATGAAGAATAAAGGTACTATAGAACGGAGCAGAAATGTCAAAGGTCACCGTGTCTGGTTCTATAGTACATTCAAATGTGATTCACTTTTTACTTTGAATCAGAACTTTTGTTTATTTATGTCATGAAAGCCTTTGACAGATTAAAAATAAAATCTATCAGTGAGTCATGATTGGTTGTTTGTTTGTTTGTTTCCATCGTTCTTTTCACCATCAGGAGAGAAATGATGTGATGGATCAGAACTGACCACTGAATAAAACCCAAATAAAGAAAGACATAAAAAAAGAACTCCTCCTTTTGTTTTCTTTGTCTGATATGAAACATTATTAAATTTTAATTATTAAAAAATTATTTAACAAGGAAAAAGAAAATCTTTTGGACCAGAAAAAAGTTGGACTAGTGGCAACGTTCACCACCGGGTCACAGAACCAGACACAGCGTCCAACATTAGCCACCAGAGCTAAGAGTTAGCCACAGATAATCCACAGCTGCCCTGTCATTAATGGTTTAACAGAAATAGATTTTTCTGTCTCTAGGACAACAGTGACGACCTGAGGCACTGGAGGTGTGTGATGTGTGTATGATAAGAGTTCGGGTTAGGGCCCAAAATCCTTAGGGTGCCCCCTGGTGACAACAGCTAGAAAAATATATTTACTCTTACCTTTACGTTCCAGGACATTTCCTCCACTAACAGTTTGGTCACGTAGCAGAACTGGGGTCTTTAACAAGTGTGCGGTGGTAAATGATGATGCTTTTCCACCCAGTGACAGGAAGTGGCCTAGGGAGAGAAGTAGATTGTTTTGATTATTACAAAAACACTTTCATTATAGTTTTGAAAAGAGAGAGAGAGAACATGTACAATCTCTCTCTCTCTCCTTTTCATCTCCATCATCTCTGAGAATCAATCAAGAAAAGACAGAGAAACGTGACTGAAGTCGATCATCCAAACTGAAGGCTTTTCCCTTTTTTTCCTTTTTCTTTTTGATCAGTGTGATTAAAAGAAACTCTTAGCGCCACCCAAAGGATTTACTGAGAAAAACATTTGGATTGAAAACGTTCATTAGCAAATTTCAAACATCTGTTTAAATCAATCAAACACTGAAAAAACACCGAGTTTGACAAGAAAAAAAAACATGGAGTTTTTAATGAGGTGCTTTTTTTCTGAGGGAATTTACAAACAGTTTGTTGGTGTTTTTGGATCGCTGCACTTTCTCTGTCATGAAAAAAGAAAGAAAATCAGTTGACAGGAAAATCAAGGTCTCCCAGAAAAATAAAAAACAAATTCTTCTGCTGGACTTTGAAGAATTTGTTTTTATTTTCTGACCAATTTCTTTCACAGCAGAATCTGAAGATCATCGTTTCAGCCACGAGAACATTTAAATATAAAAAATGTATGTCTGTGTGACACACACAGCCCAGTGGGTGAGAAAAGCTCGTTGGAGCAGGAGAAGCGCGCGCACACGGCTCCGCGCGCTATCCAAACCAGGAGCGCAGAGTCTGCTGTGACTCCCTCCCTCCCTCCCCCCTCTCTCTCCCCTCCTCACTGGACCTCCTCTACACACCACTCCTGTCTCCAGTCAAAGTTGTCTCACATCCTCCTGACTCCTCTGTCCGCGCGCTCCTCCAGTTGAACGCGTAAACCCACCGTCGGGAACCAATGCTTCCATCCCGCTGCGCTCACCCGGGGCTGCTCCTCACTCCAGGCTCCAGGCTCCTCAGCCCGGCATGATCTTGTGCAACGAAAGCCTGAACTGCGTGCAATGTCCCGTAGGAGAGGGAGGAGGAGCCGAAAACACAGCGGCAGCACCGACGGACGCGTACGCCAGGGCGCCAGGTGGAGGCGGCGGCGTCACGCTGCCTCCTCTGTCCCTGACGCCCAGCGGCCACCTGGTGGTGGCGTTGTGCCTGGGCTTCATCGGCACCCTGGGGTTCCTCAGTAACTTCCTGGTTCTAACCCTGTTCTGTCGGTATCGGACGCTGCGCACACCCATGAACCTGCTGCTGGTCAGCATCTCCTTCAGCGACCTGCTGGTCTGCGTCCTGGGGACGCCGTTCAGCTTCGCGGCCAGTACGCAGGGACGGTGGCTGATCGGACGCGTCGGCTGCGTCTGGTACGGTTTCGTGAACTCGTGTTTGGGTAAGACGGTGTTTCCGTTCTGTTGTGCACTCATCAGTGTCATGTGGTTCCACATCTGATCTGTTTCTGTCCGGGCGGGACTCCGTCCTTCTGTGACCACGGGGGGAAAGATCGGCTATTGATTTGTTTCCCTTCCCCACTGGTCCACTCGACAGAGGAGAGACAGGAGTTTAACTAATGTCTCTGACATGTCTCTGAGATATTCAACAGTGATTTATTCCCTTCTCACTTGTCTTTCAGCAGCAGATAATCTGATGTAATCTGATCTCCACCACTGCCGACAGCCCACCACCCCCCCCCAACACTAACAGGATTAAAAACCTATCAACCCAATTAATTCTCTACTTCATTTCAACTACGGTGATGACGGTCTGTCTGATGTGGTAACAGTCAGATCATTCAAATTAATGATGAAGGGAAATTGTTAATCATCTATTTTTAATTAATGATCTGCTCTCATCAGGACTGGTCTACACCGACCATCAGACTTTAAAAGCCTTCGAATAACTGTCGGAATGTTCCCAGAATTTTCCTGAAGCTTTAAAATCAGCTGTTTTGTCAGCGAAGATTAGAGGAAAAATACAATATTGTTTTTAATACAGCCATTTTCAGCTATTTTTTTTAACTTTGAGGTCGACCTCTACAATTGGCTGCTTTCTCTGGACTTTAAATAAAGGGAAAAATACTAAGAATGTGGAGATTTAAGGGGAAAAACTAACTAAAAATATAATTTCTGGAGGTGTTCAATCTGTGGATTGTGTTGTTTGTGTGGGACCTCAGACAGAGTGACACCTGCGATAAATCAAACCCTTTCTATTTAAAGAACAGAAAAACATTTCAGTTACGTGTCCAAAGGTCGACGGCGCTCCTCGACCGTGACCTTCACGGCGTTCACAGATGTCGTATTTCACCCTTTTCTTCCCACTAAAAAGAGATGAGTTTCAGCTGCCATTCTTCATTCTTGTCAGTGATTGGCTGGAATTGGCTGAAGTGGTCAAAGATTTGGATCACATTTCCAGAGTAATGGAAATCAGATCTGGAGCGGAATTGTGTGGGAGAGGCATCGGTTTTCATCTTCTAGTACGTAGTGAGTCGTGGGACACGTTTCTGACTGGGCCGGAAGTCACGTTGATCCGGGCCGCTCTGGACCTGAGGGTATCCTGTGACAGAGTCGGTGGTTTTTCTGAACTACAGAAACGATTGAGTTGTATATTTACACTGACAGCAGCCTATATTTATTAACTTTAATAACTTCACTATGAAGACTAGTGGTGGATTTGGGTATTGCTGTATCTGGTCCAGTTCAGTTTCTCTGGGTTGATGTCAGTCACGTTGAGGTCCAGCTCCTCGGTCTCTTGTCTTCGCTCCTCTCCGCTCCTCTGTACATTCCCTTTGAGCTAAAAAAAATCCCCAGTTTGTGTCGTCCTCAACCTTAGAACTTGTCTGATTGATTTTTCACACTTTCTCTTCTGTGCACGTTCTGTGGCGGCTTCAGGTAATAATCAGGAAAAGAAAAAAAAAAACATGACCAGATCAAAAGATCTGTGTAGAAAATCTCGTCAGTGAATTTATTTTCTTTCCTGAACTGGGTCAGACACTGGCCCTGACAGAGCAGTGGGGCTGGAGATGAGGACTTTAGCTTCAAAGCAGCAAATGATTGATGGCAATTTGGTGTGGATTGATGAAATGGGGGGGGAGAAAACATGGACACGCTGCCCCGTTTGATAATGGCCACAAATCACCTTTGGGGTCAAACAATTTCACTCCGCCTCTGGGCTGATGGAAGGCTTTCAGACAAATGACTTCAGGTGAAGGAGTTACAAAGAAGTGATGTGTGATAGAAATAACAGCTGATTTAATAACTGCACACAAACGACAGTCATCGTTTTATGACGTTGTTGCAGTTTGGACTCTTCTAGAACGTCTATCAACAACAAAACGTTGGTTTTTCTTTTCTTCCAAATTGAGAAATGAATGAAAAATGGATGAATACTGTGGAAAAAATCCCAAACTGAATTATAACTGTGGCCTGGTTGAGTTGGCTGCAATATCCAGAATATTTTTTTTCCTTATTTCTAATGGAATTATCCCATATTTTAAAATTGAACGTTTCAGCAACTGTCAATCAAAGCTGAGAGTTTTTGAATTTTTGCAATGCTGATTTTTCCAGAACAAATATATTTTAACCTTATTTTCTATCCTTATTGTTATTGCACCTTCCCACAGCTCAGAGCTGGAAACACAGTCAACAGTTCTGTCATAAACATCAGTTTGTCAGAACTGTTTTCTTTTTAAAACAAAAAAAATGATGCTATTACCTTCAGCCTGTCAGAGCTCAGGTGGAAGTAGAGCTGTGTGAGAATTCACTAATGAGACATGGTCGGTCCCGCTGAGATTACCCAGAGTGCACCAGGGCTGAGGTGAGAGGAAAGCAGTCAGGACCAGTTAGATGCTTGTAATCAGGGCCGGAGGGTGACAGAAGCTGGTTTTTAAACATCTCTTCATCCTCTCCATCTCTTCATCCTCAGTCAACAGTTGCAGAGGCAGAGACAATGCTGCAAAGTGTAAAGAATATAAACAGTCATGAGAAAAATCACAAATGAACATTGGAAAACCTCTTCTGTGAACACAGATAAACCATAACTTGTTGATCTTAAAATACTTAGCTATGTCCACTTCTGTTGTTAAAAATCAGAAAAAATATACTTTTTTGGTGCGTCAACTTTTGATCACAGTTAAAATACTATACCAATAAGATCCTGAACAAATCAAATATTTATCTTCTGCTATTTATCTTAGAGCTAAGGCTACTTTGAGATAGCTAACAGATAAAATACACATCTTCTACATCACATCACTTCATCCACATTGAACCCACAGGGAGAAAATCCTGGAGTAGTGTGAGCTGTGTGAGCTGTGTGTGATGGGAGTGATGGCTGACGCTCCTCTCCAGACTCTTCACTGTTCCCCTCATTACGTTGTTGGTCACGACCTCAGCCTCACTTGTCTCATCCAAACACACTGCAGGAGCACTTCATTACAGTTCACAGACCTGTGACCCTCTATAATGAACTCAGTGGAAGGTAGAGAGTCTCTAACCAGCACTTAGATGTGTGTGTGTGTGTGTGTGCGTTGATTAATGCTCATGCTGAAACAGGACTCAAACATCTCCAGCTGAACACCTTCATCAACAGGTAATTAACAGGCAGGAGATGGTTAAGAAACATCTGACCGTCCACACTGGTCCAGGTCAAGATGATGATGATGATGATGATGATGATGATGATGACCACTCCTCATGTTAAGACCAGCTCCACATCCAAGGCTCATGTTGAGTCACATCCATATCAAAGAATGAATCTACTGGGCATCAAACCTACATCCTACCTCTACCCTCACATCCTACTCCACTCTTCCTTTTCCTCAGGAATTTTCTCCCTCATAATTCTGGCCGTCATCTCCTACGAACGCTACTGTACCATGATGGCGCCCACTATAGCCGACGGCAGGGATTTCCGCCCGGCCCTGGGAGGGATCTGCTTCTCCTGTCTCTACTCTGTGGTCTGGACAGTTCCGCCTCTCCTGGGCTGGAGCCGTTATGGGCCAGAGGGCCCGGGGACCACCTGCTCCGTGGACTGGAAGACCCAGACGTTGAACAACGTCTCCTACATCGTGTGTCTGTTTGTCTTCTGTCTGCTGCTGCCGTTCTGCGTCATCCTCCACTCCTACGGTAAACTGCTGCTGGCCATCAGACAGGTGGGTGTCAGACGTCACTGTGGGCTTCACTGCGTCAAACAAACCTGTCCTGTCCCGGCTGCGTCACAGGTCACTGCTCTGTTTTGACTGCGTTTGCCTTACATTTACAAGTGTTTGCTCGCGGCCCTGAACCGTTCCTGCTGTCAATGCAGTGATGCAGTTTACACAAGAATTCCATTTGCCACACCATTTGCTGGTTCATGTGCCGTGTCTGTGAGACCGTCAGCACCTGATTCTTACTGCTCTCTGCAGCGCGTTTATAAAATCATAAAAAGAAAAACGAGACTGAAAAGAAAACGTCAGACGTGTTGTCTTTTTATAAGGAAGAAAAAAGGAAAGTGTCCTCGTTTACGTTTGAACTCCCATGTGTTCAGAGAAACAAAATGTCCTGTATTTCCAAGCACAAACATTTCTGTAGACACTTTAATAAGACCGAGAAGGAAAAAGTATTGGGACTGCTTTATCAAATTTTAGAAGATAAGTGTTTTATACAAGGGCTATCAACCACTGATCCGCAGAAAACTTTTTACCTAATTTAAAGAGAACCTGGTCAATTCCATTTACTTTATTAATAATTTTGAATTCTTTTTACCTAATTTAAAGAGAACCTGGTTTACTTTATTTATATTTATAATTTTGAATTTATAATTTTGCATCTGCTGCAGATATTTTCAGTCCAATTCAGTTCATTATAGAAGTGACCTCACAGCTCAATACAATAATGACCTCTGACAAAAATCATTCAAATTGACAGATAAATACAACTTTGACCTGAGAGAGAAAGAGGTGTGTGTGTGTTCAATTACCTGAGGGCCAGAACATCTGATGTTGACACTGGAGGAACTTCTCATCTGTAGAACATCGTGCAGTTACACAGAGAAGAATAGTCAGTATGTGAAATATGAAATATGATTCACAGAAGCAAACGCCGCTGCTGCTGCTGCACACAGGTGTCAGAGTATGATATTATTATGATATAATATTAGGCTGCTTCAATGTTCCAGTGAGGGTAAAGTCAAACAGAGGAAGAGGAGGAGCTCCTTCACCTCAGCCTCGGCTCTATTTGCTCTAATTGTTATTTATAGTTGAGCAGTTTTAATCCCATTATCCTCTGGTTTATTTATCTCCGTGTTCTGTTTGAGGAATGTTGTTTTCTTCAGCTCATACATAATAGACTAATGGATTTACAAAGTACAAATGTTTTTCATATGACTCACATCCTGTAGTGGCAGCAGTGACAATCTTTCCTCTGCTTCACAAACACCGACGCTGTGGTTCAGGGGCGAGAGCAGGAGGTCTGTGAGAGACAGAAGGTCAGACGTCTGTTAGTCTGTCAGTCCACAGCTGATCTGTCTGTAGCCGTGACACCAAACTGCAGGTTTCTGTTCGCAGCTTTGACGGCAGCAGCATCTGTGAATGGGAAGCAGGGATTTTAAACCTAATACAACCATTCAGTATATTGCTACGTAAACTCCGGGTGGCGCTAACCAACAAAGCTAAGCTAAAAGCACAGCTTTAGTTGTACTGAACAACACAACATGAAGTATTTTGTTGTTCCTCAATTCCTCCTACGCCTCCTCCTCAGGTCAGGAGTTCTGTGGTGGCTCGTCGCAGAGAGGAGCGAGTGTTGGTGATGGTGGTCATCATGGTGTCGTGTTATCTGGTCTGCTGGCTGCCGTACGGCGTCGTTGCTCTGATTTCAACTTTTGGATCCTCTGACCTTGTGACACCAGAAGTGAGCATCGCACCATCCCTGTTGGCCAAATTCTCCACCGTCATCAACCCTTTTATTTACATCTTCATGAACAAACAGGTGAGTGGTTCCACTGTGCAACTTTCCCATCACAGTTTCTTTGCAAAATAGCTAAAGGTTAGCCAAACGTTAGTGCAGTAGTATCAAAGCAAGCAAAAGTGATCACTGAATGGAAATTAAATTTAAACCCTGCCTGAAAAATGATTCAAATTAGAAAACAAATAGCTCAAAGTGCTAGATCAGAAACAAATATGCTAAAAGGTTAGGTTTGTTAATCCCACAACCAAAGGGGCCTATATTCAAGGTTATTCCAGGTTCCAGTCCTGGTACATAAATATAAACAATGCCAAAGTTTCTCTATAATTAACTCCATCATCATCAACTCCTTCATCCGCTCTACATTTTCACCTTCAGACATCCTGTCACACACTCACACAGACAAGCAACGCTATTATCACTCTGCTCATGCCATAACAGCTGTGACACATCCCCCCGCCCTCATCCCTCTGTGCAGATGACAGTCAGTCAAGGACACGGCCCTGGACACTAAAACACCTGACCAGAGGGGGTTAAAGTGAAACAGGAAGTTCACCACAGAAGTAAAGAGCTCAAACATGATCATATCTTTAGGTTTATTAAATTATGTAAACTAATGAATCACTCCAGGAGAGATTAATTTACTGCTGTAATCTCCATAAGCAGTCGTTTCTTCACACGTTTTTTTAACAGCTTTATAATTTACACCAGCAGAGACGCAAAAACGTGAAGTAAATGGGTTTAGGAAAATTCTCTATTGTATCTCTGTGTATCTGCTAAAATAGTAATAGTGTAATATATTGGTTTAAATTCCATTTAGAGGAAAAATAAAGGAAAAAGCACGAGCAGTGATGATGGATGGACAGCCCCAGCACTCCTGGGATTTGCTCCAGCAACCCTTTAAGGGTTGTTAAGAATTATATGAATGAATGAATTCTTTATAAATCCAGGACAAAGAAGGACAAGTCAGTGAGTGTTCAGGAGAAAGTGAAGACAAAAGGCAGATGAAAATGGAAAAAAATAATGGTGTAAAAGTTTTAATCAATGAACACAGAGACTGGTGCAAAGACAGGAAGATGAAAGACAGAGAGGAAACAGGAAGTGACAGGATGAGGCGGAGGAGAAAAAACTTTAATCTTCCTAAAGGTTAATGTAGCTTTGATTTTGATTAGCATGTGATGTCACTATCAGGATATGACACACACACAGAGACAGACACACAGGCTGTGACCTTTCCGTCTTCTCCCTCACATACATTCAAACAGACTTTAATCCATGTCTCTTTATCTTCTCCCACCTCCTCCCCCTGTCTCCCCCTCTTCCTTCCCTCCCCTCTGTTCAAACGTCACTGTGTCACATCTGAGTTCAGGAGACATTTAAGTCACTTTGATGACTGACTTCTCACCTAATCGTTCAGTGGGAGTAACTCTGCGCTGATAAAAAGGGCACTAAATTAGTTTTTTTTTTTCCCTCTGGAGGCCACAGTTAACCTCAGAGTGAAGACTTCAGACTGTGTGGCCTTTTCAGTCTTCAGTTCCTCCCAGCCCATTACGGTGGCAGCAGTGTGTTGAGGCGAGTTGAAGACTTTAACGGCTGCCCAGATTCACACCTCCAACAGGTATCACTGCTGGTCTGTACGCAGGGCTACAACTCAAGTGATAAAGGAATCCTGCTGTGGAGCAGGTGCTGAAGTGAATGTTACAATACTGAGAACAAGGAAACGTCAGTTCTACCCCCCGACCCTGTCGGCTTTCCCCACAGTTTGGGTTTTCATGCTGTAACAAAACCATAAAAGACTTAAATGAAATGAAGTCTTTCATCTTAAGCAGTTTCTGTTTTTTTTTTTTTATCTCCTCCCCTCCGGCAGAGCTCCATAGTTTGGTGTTTCAGCTACAAAAACATTTCAATGTCACATTAAGATTGAAAACACTGATAATGGCTGCTGGTGCAGACAATCCTCTGTTTGTATTATACACACACACACATATATACACCAACGTTCAGTATTCAGTAAATAAAATGATCCAAAAGCTGTTTGGTAATTTCAACCACCTACAGTCAAGTTTGAAATACTGCATTCATAAAAAACCACTAAGATTATTAAAGAAACTGTTCAACACAATAGTATTCTGTATTCAGTCTGACACATACTACAATCACATATTGTACTTACTGTATCTGAAGTGAAGCTAATGATGAAGTGTCGGTTTGGAATTCTGTTAAAAAAAAAATAAAAAAAAAAGTCAGGCTATATTTGGAGAGCCATCACAGTGAGTATTAAGACCAACATGTGGCACAAGAGCCACGGGTTGCAGACCACGGCTCTAGAGCCTTACTGTAACCTTAACTATTTAAAAAAAATTGTTGAAAATAACTCTATTCTGAGCCTGAATCTCCAGACAGTCTTGAGCATCTACATACTCTCTTACTCAGTGGTGACCTACCAAATGTCCCCACAAGACCAGAGGGGCCACCCCCCCCTCTCTGTCTCCCACATTTTCCCCGTTAAGCACTGATCTAGGATCTGCTGCAGTTTAACTGATGTCGCTTTCCTTTGTTTTGTTAATATAAACTCGGTATGACAGTGACAGTGAACACAGTCTTCCACTCAGTCTTAAGATCCAATCTGTGTCTGATCATAGCTCTGATCCTGCTGTTGCTCACTGGGTTTTTTTTCTTTTCTTTTTTTTCCCCACTGACATCCTTTTGTCCTTCACACTTCCAGCCCCCTCTTTGCACATCCAATGTTTTTTTTTTCCAGTTCCTCTGGGGGTTTTTACTCCCTCTGTTAAACCAACAGCTTTGTTTGCTGTGGATTAAAATAACTGAATATAAATGTATTTTAAACATCTTTACATTTCCTCATGAATATAAATGTATTTTAAACATCTTTTCAACAGATACACATACATTTCCTCGGGCATACGCAAACAAATGAGGTCATGGGTAATTAGCTGTAAGTCGTCTGGTTAAGTGTGTCACTGAGTATCTCCTTAATTGGAGTCACTGAGGTAAATACTCTGAAGATGATGATGAAGAAGATGTCTGAAGACCCTGACGCACAGCCTCATCCAAGACCTTGACCCGCGACACTCTGGGAAAATGTAGTAGACTTAAAGTATACATGTGGAACCATGGAGTATACTAAGTACACTACGTTTATCCAGGGGAGCGCGATTCCTACTGGACTCACGGTCAGAAAAACTTTTTATACTGTGAACTTCTATCAAGTCACTGTGGTGAAGTGATCGTCAAATTTCAAATATGTGACTGTGATAATATTAATTTAAAAAATGAGTTTAAAAACATTAAATTACTGTTTTTTCAGTTTAATTTACACAAAACTCTGCATTTGGAAAATTCCAGTTTGGCATTGGTACTTGAAGGCTTCCATGATTCCAGTTTGGCATTGGTACTTGAAGGCAGCAAAGGCTTCCATGATGTTGTTACAGTTTTAGTTTTTATTCATCTTCAATCCCTTAAACCAAAGAGCTGCTCATGTTCTACCTGCAGCCTCCTATCATCAGCAAGACTTTAACCAAAACACCTTTGTGTGTGTGTGTGTGTGTGTGTGTGTGTGTGTGTGTGTGTGTGTGTGTGTGTGTGTAGTTTTACAGGTGTTTCCTGGCATTGCTTAATTGCTCTAACCCTGAACTCAGCTCCAACATGAAGACGTTTTCTCGACCAACCATAACACTTCGAACCTTCCATCAGGAGAAGAAACATCACGTGTCGCCTCAGGCTCCACCTTCAGCTCTGCCCACACCCAGCTCCGGCCACAGATCCTCACGCCATGCTGCAGATCCCGCTTCTCCATCGAACCAAAGCTGCAACTCTTCACACCCTCCTTCTGAAAATGGCCACACTCCTAAAGTGATCCTGGTGGCCCACTACAGGGAATAAGAGGAGCAGGAACCGCAGCATCAGCAGCTGAGACGTCCAGAGCAGGAGACCATGAGCACCAGCACAAGTCTGCAATTAACAAACAAATCCGCCTAATGGCAGAGAACAGGCTTCAAAGTGAGTTCAGCGGGAGGCTGGGAATACTAGACAGACGGGTGGTGATGGGTTTGATCCCACAACAGTCAATGCCTTCTGCGGTGGGAGCAGAAGAATTAACAGTGGTTTTATGAGAAGCACTGTTTAAAAAGCACAATAGAAATTTACAGTAAAGACTGAGACTAAACAAGCTGGAAGGTAAAGATAAACAACTAAACACGTGCTTGTTGTACTGCTTTACAAGCTGGCAGTTTTTAAAAACGACCTCAGAGTGACACACTGTTGAATAAAAACTATTTAAATCATTGCCAACTTTTTATATAAATGACTTGTTATCAGTTTCACATGAGCATCAATTAAAACGAACAAAATTTAAACATAAGGCTGTGACTCAGTCCATATCTGATACTTGTACTAAGCTGTGACTCAGTCCATATCTGATACTTATCTTACATGTATCAGTTAGGATTGCTTAGTTAATTAGTTTAGCTTTGCACTAACAATATAATGTTTTGGCTAACATTTGTTTACCTTTCATATAAATCACAATTCTTTAATTAGTTACTGTTAGACTAACTGAGCTTTGTTCTAGCTTTAAGAAAATTCTCTGCCGACGCTTTGGATATTTATTTTGGCTAATGTTACGCTAGTGCTAATCCAGGTTATTAGTGTTAGAAATCCTTATTTTATACCTTGTTGCAAATGAATGTAAAAGGGAAATAAACTTTCAATCTCTGTGGTGCTAAATGTCCAAATTTAAGAATCTGTTATGTCTGTGCAGTTCACCAGAATAATGGTGTTGTCTCTGACGGCTAGTGTTAGCGTCTTAGCCAAAGAGGTAGAAAACTGAGGAAGTCTGACTGCACTTTACTGGTTTAAAACAGCACAAATGATGGGCAAACGGGTGAAACTAGATTTTTTTTTCTGCTTCAGGAATTTGATCAGAAAATATATAAATTATGAAAATGCTCATAAGTGGGTCAAGTGTCTGTTACACAACAAACTGATGTCTTCTTGATCAAAGAAATTATTCTGGACCAAAAGGAGATTTTTCTCCTGGAGGAAATTTCATTAACATTTTTATGGGCTTTTCGGTCTTGTAAATAGAGCAATTACTTCAGTGTGTGTGTGTGTGTGTGTGTTCACATCCTGTGTCTGTAGGCTTTTTTGAGCCATAGCAAAAAAAAAACCCTCACACATCACAACCAAACAAAATTGTCTCAAAATAGTGTCAAAACGAGCCACCCAGTTTCAGTTGACAGGCCCAGTTAAAGCTGGGCCTGTACAGTGAAACATAACACTGATATACTCACAGGAATTGAGGAAAAACACACATAAAGAGCTTCTTCAACAGCTAACAGTCTCCGTCTTCATTTACAGCCACCTAGGGAAATAATGTTTAATTACTCTACCCGTCACTGTTGCATAGGTTAATAAAAAATATTTGTAGTAAATCAAATATTTTTCAGAGAATTTAAGTACAACTGGACAATTTTCCACAGCATACCTGACAATCTCTCACACTAGTGTGTTGTGAACAGTGGTCGTGAGTCACTGGATTAGTGAAATGGTGGGATGAAAAGTAAAGACTGAATGGTTAGAATTTGTCCTAATATTGCCAAGCGCAGCTGCTTTCATTCTGCATTTCGTTTCTGTAATCCTGTTGTAATTTGCTTTGTTGTTCGCTGTGACCTGAAATGAATCCTGTTGAGAAACACTAAACTCAACGACTCTGTGTGTTCTTTCACATTAGCTCCAAACACAGTAATAGTAACGTAAAGAAATGTTTGTGTGTTCCGTGTGTGTGCGTGGGTTTACAGGTGTTCGTCATGTTTACCTCATCACCAGGTTCCGTCCGCTTCCTTTGTGCATCTGAAAGTTTTGACACACTTTATTAACTTGATTTATAACTGAACATACATGATTTAATTGTGGTTTTAATAAAGCGTGCATCGCCAGGTTGCAGGAAAGTCCGTGAATGTTAAAGTTAATTAGTTCATTAACGAGCTGCGAGCCACTTCCTGTTTTCCTGTCAAAATAAAAACTTCCTTGTTCTTAACACAGTCTAGTTGCACGTAGTTTTAGCTTTGCTTCCGTTTTAGCATACAGCGTCGTTAGAGAGAGCTTTACACGCGAATCACTCACCAATCAGATTACTTTGACGGCAGGTGCGTAGACGCCATTAACTGTTCGGGCGCTAGAAATACGGCCGCCATCTTGGAGCTATTAGCAGACAGCAGAGACACACAAGTTATCTCAGTGCTATAATAAAAATAAATACATTATTAATACAATATATAAGGTACATATATATTTCTATCACAGTCTATAAAAGTCTCTCCCGAAGGAAAAGTCTGCATGTAAGCGGTGACAACAGAGAGACTGTCGTCCACTTTATTAACAACTCAAATACGGTTACACAAATCCAGATCCATGTGAGCTGTTGTTTGCGGACCTGTCACTCACATCCATCCACCCATGGGTCACCTTTTGTTCCGCCCTCATCCTCATTAATACAGCCTGGTGTTCTCACCTGTGTTCTCTTGTATAAAACCTAGCTACCATCCTTGGCCTCTCGTGGTCCGGACCACTCTGGACCCCCGTTATTTTCTCCACCTTTTGTTCTTTTTCTTTTACTGCTGCTTGTTAACCCTGTGCTGGAGAAACCTTTTGTTCTTTTTCTTTTACTGCTGCTGTGCTGGAGAAATAATGAAGGAACAAAAGACACATTGTGTGTTGTTTCCTGGAATAAAAACATAAATACATTCATAAATATTTATTCACTCTGGTGGTCGGTGACACGCATGTTTTGCCAAATGTATACAGCAGGGGACGAGGGGGGCGTAGGCGGAGGAGAAGGAGGAGACATGCAGACAGCAGTCACTTCTTACCTGGACAAATTTAGAGAGAACTGATTTTGAGAAACGGCTGCTTCACTTTCCTTCAGGTGTCATTTGAACTCCAATCAATAATTGTAACCAAATGTGTATAGTGTGACGCAGTCAGGAGGGAGTCGAAGTGGGAGTCGACCGCTGTTCTGTGAGAGAAGAGGAACAATCGCTGCCCAACTGCTGTGGCTGGAAGATAAGACAAAACACACACAGAGACACAAATGTCAGGTTTTCACAGTACAATCAGTGCAGCTCTCTGTCAACGGACCAAGAGGCCGACGATTATAATGAATGGATAATAAAGGAGATCACCATGACGACAGCTGGAGGAGGGTACATCCAACGCAACTTGATCGTCATGGCAACCTGTGGTGTTCGTCGGATGCCGATTACACTACTGCTGCTCTGTCTCTGTGAGACACAACAGACAACACAGGATTAGACTAATCTCAAAGTTACACAATGAGCAGAACATGAAAATAAACACCAGGTTGGGTTTATGGGACACGATTCAGGACATTGTGATGCACTTTTTATTAACAATTTGCAGGAACATTTTTTACCTGAAGTTTTGTAAACAGTTGCTCTACTCCTGTCTTTTGACAAGATTTTAAGTTAATTTTAATGTGTGGCTAACCATTAGCTGTAGACTTTAACTTCAATCATTTAGCTGTTTTTATGGCTCTGTTTTGGTTAACCAGATTTAGCAAATTATAATGAAATTAAATGCACTTTGACTTCACTGGAGCAGAACATTTCCATCCCTCAGTTTGCTCAGTAACTTCTCAGGTAAGTGAGGTTTAATTGTTGATTTCCTACCTGGACTTCGACTAAAGATTTAAACCGGTGACCTCAAAGTCAAGCTGGTTTCTGAGAAACAGGATGTGGTTGAAGCTTCAGACCAACACAGCTGATTCAGAGATGTTCCTGGTACATAAATAGACAGAGGCAGATTTCACGTCACTTTGGATGAAAATGTTGCTGTAGATTAAACTCCTCGTCTCTCAGCCACACACCTGCTGGGCATGTTTCCTTTCCTTTTGATCATCTGATCCATCTTCACCAGTTTTTTCTCCTTCACACTTTCTTTTTTTTAACCACTGATACCTGCTTCTACTGCTCTTCCTGTTCAGCCCACTTCCTCCAGCATCCTTTCCAGACTCCACTCACTTCCTTTCGATCCCTAATTAGCGGTGAGTTGGACCACCCGAGGATTTCTTCAAACTCACAGCTTGAAGCACACTTTGTTGCAGGTGCGTCATCATGTGCTGGAGCTGGACACACCCTAAAAAACAGCCATTAGATCATTATATATCATCACCTTAGGGAGTTATTTCAAACAAATATCTCCAGAAATAAACCATAGTGACATCTAATGGTGAGTCAGCAAAATGGAAACACAGAGGTCTTGATCCAGGTAAATACTGCAGGTGGGTAAAGAAAGTTCTGGTTATTTCATCAAGGTTGAGCATTTACAATGAAAACCATAAATATTAATTGAGCCATGGGAATTTGAACTTTTATTTTTAACAACAGAAAAAACAACAGTTTTAAAATCAAACCTTTCTTTCTGAATTCCTGGAAACCCGATGACACTCCAGCCCAGTAGGTGGCAATAAAGCAGTTAAGCTGTTTGTATGCTGTAAAGAAGATACATGAGGCACATTAGGTGACAATAGCACAACCGGTTTTGATGAAGATTATGCACCTACCTGGCTGGTTGGGTGGGAAGTTTTTTTTTTTTTAACTTCCTGATGGTAGTATGGTACTCTGTACGTGGTCTGGACACATTTAATGAGAAGCTTATTGTCTAGATTTATAATTCAAATTTACTCAATGTTGTCCAATAAAAACAGAACTGATCCACAGCTAAGAGCAAGGAAATTTGCAAATTAAATACATTTGAAGATATTTTGGCCACATTTGACATTTTTCTTATCAATATACATGTTCTTTTAAATTAAGGAAAATGAATCAAACGCAGAGACAGCTTTAAAGAGCTTTTATTAGAACATCCAAAAATGAAAAAAAAAGAACTTTACATAATTCATCACAGACAAAAAGTGACAAAAAAATTAACAAAAAAAATAGAGATGCTATAGATAGAAAAGGCCAAGCCTGACACTGACGATGAGCACACATTTCTAGCGAAGTCAGAAAGATTGGGATGAAAGCAGCGAAGCAGCCGAAAGAGACAAGAACTTGATGGAGCCCCACCTGCTGGAAGCTAGGTGTTGGTGTACGCGCATGTACTTGGTCACTGGGTCCATTAACTTCTTGTGTGTCCCATATCTGATTCAGTTTTTACACCGTCTGTGAGGAGGTCCTGGGTGTAGCTACAAGAACACTGGGGACTGTGTTTTCATGTCCATCTGCATGCATAAGTGTGTCCTGTACTCTGTGTTTTACTTCTTGCGATAGTCGTCTGCGTAGCCTCTGTGATCCCCCTGCTCTTGGTTCTGGTCTCCATACAGCCTCATGATGTCCTGCAGACTGGGAATACCCTGGGGGTGTGAGGGGTAGGACATGTGAGGCTCCTCCTGCCCACTCTGGTAGGGCTCGTACTGATCCTGCTCCTGCTGCTCTTGGTAATGCAGACTCTCTGCTGCCCCCTGGTTGTGATCCTCTTCGGCCTGCTGCTCAGGCAGGGCCTCAGCGTGGGCCTCCTCGGGTTCATAGCGGCGCAGGCGGCAGTCTCTGTCATATTCAGGGTCGCAGTCGGGGTTGGCGGGCTCCAGAACTCCTCTTCTGGTGCCGTCGGCGTTCACGTGGGGTTCGTAGGCCTCGGCATGGTGAGGGCTGTGGCGTTGACCTCCAGAGCGAGGATTGCTGGGTTTAACTGGGTAGCACTCACGGTCGTAGCCAATGTAGCAGTCATAGCCTTCCTTGGTTTTGCCTGGGGGTCCCAGAGGGTGGCGCTCCTGCCTTGCAGGTTCCTCAAAACTTGGGTTGGAGTAAGGGAATTGCTGCCTAGGGTTGGTGTGACCACGACGGTGCAGGGCAGTCGCTGCCTCACGCATTGCAGAGAAAGGATCGTTGGGATTGGACTCTGGAGCAGCCTCCATACGGGGAGCGTAGGGGTCGGTAGCTTGGGCCTGGGCCATATGTCGGCGCAGAAGGGCATATGGGTCATTAGCTGGAGCTGAAGGTGGAGCACTGGCCTGATGGTACATAGCATAAGGATCGCTACCTCTGTTAGCATTAGCCTGTGCATCTCTGAACATTGCGTAGGGATCGTTGTACTGCTCAGAGGAAGGAGCAGCACGGATGGAGGCGGCATCGTCTGATTCCTCATTGGGATAGGCATCTGGAGGGGTGGCAAATTTGGTGGCGGTCAGGGGGTTGCAGTTGTCCTCATAAAGAGGATTGCAGGATCCAGGCCCAGCAGCGGCAGGGGGGTTAGGAGCGCGAGGTGCCTGGAGGGGTGGGGGCACAAAGAAAAGCAATTAGAGATTTTTGACAGAAACTCTGAAAGTTGCGCAAGAGGAGATTTCTTTAATTATGTCCTACCACAAGAGAGGCAGCGTAGGCACAGTATGGATCTCTGAGTGGGTCACAGTTGGGGTACTGCAGGTACAGACCAGACGGTGCTTTCTGCACCTGCTTGGGTCTGCAGTTGGAGTCTTTCTTGGGATCACAGCCGAGGTGGGCGTAGGATGGCAGAGATCCAGCAGAAGGTGAGTAACCATAGGCAGCTCTCAGGTGGTACTGGAGACACTCTACATCATCGGCAGCGCAGATACGCAGGAGCTCGGCTTTCTGCTCCTGAAGGAGTAAAAAAAAGAGACAAGGTTTCATGGTGTCACTGAAGGTGGACTTCGTGCAGGTTGTTGATCCTCTGGTGCAGGGGTGTCAAACTCATTTTGGTTCAGGCTGCGTAGAACCCATCAACAATCATATCATAATTACATATAATTTTTTATTTTTCATATTTTTTTTTTCAAAATTGAAACTCCAAGCGGGCCGGTTTTGGCCCACAAGCCGTATGTTTGACAGCCCAGCTCTAGACAATTCTTTGGATCGTCACACCACAGGAACACAACAGCTGTCCTGAGAAGGTTATAACCGGACCAAAAAGAACGTACTTTTTGGTCCACAACAATTAAAGACGGTCCCTAAACCAGAGTGGATGGTTTACCTTGGAAAGAAAGGGTGTTGAAGAGGGAGCGTAGTAGTAATACCCAGACTGAGGGTCCTTAGCTTGAGCAGCAGTGCGGATGTACTGACAAGCTGGGCCCTTGACTGGTACTGGTGCTGGAGCAGCAGCAGCAGGCAGGACCAGGGGCTTGTAAGGATCCTTGCCCTGGAGCAAGGCAGCATACAGACAGTAGGCATCCTTGGTGGGGTCACAGGTTTTTACTGGTGCAGGTTTTGGGGGCTCAGGTTTTGACTTGGGCCTGCTGGTGTGGGAAGAAACACATTTGGGGTCGTCAGACTCGGAGCACGACTTGTAGACATCCCCTAGGTGGCGCAGGTAGGCCTTGTAGGAGCGACGCCCCTCAGCGCGGTTCTTGTTCTGGAGGTAGGCCAGGTAGATACGGTCCATCTCATGAACCTGGGAACACAAACACATTTGGCAACATACACGGTGAGATAATTCTGTATACTTTATAGCAAATTAATTTAGTTAAATTTTTCAGAAAATGATTCTTGGAACATCTTTAGCTGTCTCTTGTTAGCATTTTTTATATTTTTTCTTTTTCTTTATTTTGACCAACCAACTATAACAATTTTAAGCCTTCTTCTGGATATTTCCATTCACCTTTGCTAACATTTAGCTAAAGAAGTCAAACAGTCTAAGCCTTATTAACTTCTGTGCGGAGACAAAGCCTTGACATGCGTTTGTGAAACTCACTGCCTCCTGGTTGTTGTTGTCAGAGAAGAACTTGTACCAGTTCCAGAAGTCAGAGTGCTGATTGTACCAGCTGATGTTCCTGCGGTTACGGATTAGCCTCCTGTGCTCGGCTGCAGCCTCTGCCGTCTCCCTGATACTGTCACCTGCTGCAGAAACAGTGATTAAAAAAGAAGTTCCACTGATCCCAGAGCTTTTGCACTTTATCGACTACAAGGTCTTTTACGGTGACTTTTAAAGTTCCTGACATTTGTCGGGGGGACGGAGGGAGGTGTGATTGAGTAACATTATGTGGTATTTCATATCACTCACTGAGATAAAGTTTATGCTACACTGGTCCAGGGTCAGCTGTGATTAATTTAATGGAACTTTTCTAATCAAAACAAGTCTATAGACATTATTCAAGTCTCCCATCGTCTCTCAGCGCTGACATAACATTCGTGTATGGGTACAGATTACAATTCATTTTTCAGAGATAGAAAAGGTTATTTTAGTAATATTAATCAGCCAATCTTTGGAAACACTACATTGTGTTTTTCTATTTTTAAACAATGACTTGTGGTGTGAAAGTGAAGACATATATTTATTACCATCTCTTTTGGTCTTCTGTCCAACAGGTCCAGCAGACACAAGAGCTGCAGAGGTGAAGAGAGAAAAACACAACACACAAATAAACATGTCGACCAAAAACATTGTCAGGCTGAAAATGTCTAACTTTTCCTTTTATTTATTCATAAATTGTAAATACTGGGTCAGGAAGGTGGTGAGATACAGAACCAATTAAAACTTTTGAAAAAAAAAACAGCTGATTTTTAAACTTTCATTAACTGTCTGCTTGTATCTGAAAAAGAACACACACAAACACATCAAGGAGCATGACGAGCTAATGAGGCTAATGAAACTGCGGCTGTTCAAACCGTCTGTGTGTAACACACATCTCCTGTGATAATGTGACATTAAACCTGCTGCTTTTACAGACAGATATGCTTCATTAAAGGGAGGGGGGAGGAGCGAGGGTGGTGGGGGGGCAGTAAATGTGCTGAGCCCCAGGATCTGGAGTCTGAGGCTCTTTGTAGATTTTTATAGGTGAGCCTGTAACATCTGACCTCACGCTGAGACACCAAACAGCTACGTGTGCACTTTGTGTTTGTCTACACCTCACAACCACACACTGTACGGCTGGTTGTGTGTGTGTGTGTGTGTGATATGACCCTGAGCTGCTGAGGGAGCCGACAGACGACAGGCTCTTCTCTGACCGTCTTTCATCTCCACGGGGAGGAAGTGTTAAAGTCTGACAGGAGGAACAGACCAAGGCTTTAGAAGTGAGACTTCGATGCAGGATGTGAATAAACATCATCTTCCTGTTGGAGGAAAACAAGTTCTAACGAGGATGGAGATCGTCATGATGTGACCTGCAGGTCAGGACGAGGGAAGAGAGCATTAAGGTAGAAATTAAAGGGTGAAGGGGATGATGGAAGGATGAAGAGGAGGGTGGGCTGGGCCCCGCTGCTGCCGCCGCCTCAGTGTATCCGCTGTGTTGTTTTTTATGAGCTTGTAAAACAAGCAAAAAAAGCGAGTGGCACATCTGGAAACAGCAGCGCATCAACAGGAGGTGATGCTGACAGGTTAGATTTTTTTTTACAGGAGCAGGGTGAACGATGAAAGATGAAAGAGAGGGGAGGTGGGGGGGGGGGGGGGCTGTGGTTTGTGAAGGTTTTTCCGTTAAGCCTTC